CTTTTAGATTTTGGACATGCTCCTCTTCATTCTCAGATTATACCAAAATATCGGCAGTGAAGATAATAACAAATCGATTCAAGTAAAATTTGAAAACTATATTCATAAATCTATAAAGGCAGCAAGGGCAATAGTCAACTCAAAGGACATCACAAGAAATTTATAGTGCTCATATCAAGATCAAAAAATGGTCATTGAAATGTCTAAATCCTTGATCATCAACTGATGATAGCCTGATTGAAGGTCAATCTTGGAAAACATATAAGAACCTCGTAATTGATCACATAAATCATCTATACAAGGAAGCAAGCACTTGTTCTTTGTGGTCACCTTATTGGACTCTATGTGGTCAATGCACAATTGCATGCTTTCATATTTCTTTTTCACAAACTGAACTTGTGCTTCCCAAGATGAAACACTAGGTCAAATGATTTCTTTATCAAGCGATTCTTGTAATGGATCTTGAGCTCTTGGAGTTTCAAGGCGACTGTTTGACATGGAGCTTTAGAAATTGGAGTGATCCCTTGAAGTAAGTCTATGGTGAACTCGATCTCATGATCGGGTGGCAAACTATATAAATCTTCAGGAAATGCATCAGCAAATTCCTAAACAACTAAAACACCATCTAAGCTAACACTTGATTTCTTAGAATCTATCACATGAGCTAAATAACCAACACACCCATAGATATTTACATATAAGCCTTAATTGTAGAAACTAGATAAGGAATAACTCATCTACTACCCTTGAAGCAAAATGGAACTGAGCTAGGTATATAGAAATTCACCTGTCTCTTATGACAATCTATAATTGCATGATATGCAGATAACTAGTATATACAAAAGATTACATCAAACTCAGCTAATGGGAAAACTATGAGAGCAATAGATATATGCATGTCATTAATGAAAATTTCATATCCTCAAACACACATAATAACAATCACAGGTGAGTCAGATGAAATAATGATTGATATATATGAATATAATGGGAAAATCAATGCACTAAATACAATCTTGTTTGATATAAATGAATGAGTTGCCCCATAGTAAAATAGTACCCGTGTCGGTTTCTTTAAAATAAGGATGAAAAATGTCACCACACCAAAAGCTTCACGAGCTTCTTCCTATGTCATAATGAATGCTCACACTGGAATCGTCTATTTTGGTTGCTCTAGAGCTTGAGCTCATTGCGGCTGACATTACACCATTAAGGATCTTTTATACATCAATGACAACTATTAAGGTTGTCGATACTGCTGGTAACGTGGTGCAGGAGGACGCTGATGATACGGTTATGATGTTACCATTTGCTACTGTTGTTGTTGAGGTTAAAGATAACTTTGTTTTGCTTGACCCCTTCTTTGATGCTTCTGAAATTTTCATCCTTTTAATTTATGTCATTATTCTTGTGATGAGACTTGAAATTAATTTTTTTGGGGTTTGTTGTGGTAGACCTTGAACTTTGAGGGGACAATCCTTAGCGTTATGATCAATATTGTAACAGTTGATGTATTTGCCGAAAACTGAGCTACAAGTCCCAAAATATCATTTCCCACAACAAACACATGGAGGAATCATTTTTTACTCCTGCACATGGTGATTTTGATGTTGTTTCCTAGGGAACTCTCATTAGCTTGCTTATCTGAATTATTCCGCTTTCTGACATACCTCTCCTCTCAAGCATTGATCTCTCACATGAATAGCTTGATCCACTAGTTCTCTGTAAGTTACATTTAACAGTTGATACACACCTTTGAATGCCCTCTCTCAAGCCAACCATTATGTGGTAGAACTTTTGATCTTTATGTTGATCAATTGATGGGATGAAGAGAACAATCCTAACAAATTTTGTCTCGTACTCCTGAATGGTCTTTGTTCCTTGCTCTAGCTTTCTTAAGTCATTCATGAGCTTGGTCAAGTCCGTTATAGGGAAATATTGCTCTAGGAACTATCTCTCAAAATTTCCTCAGAAACTATTGCGTTTGCATCAAAAGTATTGCGACAGTGACTTTCACGCCAATCGTCGGCACCTTCACGCAATTAGAATGTCACAATGTCCACCTTACGGTCTTCGGGGCTCTTTTATTCTCAAAGCCTCCTTTTAATGTCACAAAGCCATGCATTGGACTTGATCGTTTCTACTGTGCCATTGAAGGTAGGAGGACATGTCTTCAAAAACTGACCCATCAGTCGATCCCTAACACTTACATTAGTCATTGTCATTGGTAAGGTTGATCCTCAATGGCGGCTACTAGTGGGATTGATTAAGTGGCTTGTATTGTTGATTGCATCGCTTGCTGGATAGCTTTGACCACTTTTGCAGTTTGGGCTACAAAGATAACTTGTAATGCTTTAGTAACATTATGAGCTACAACCTCAGATGAGAGTTTTTATGTTGAAATTTTGTGCTTCAGTAATCTCAATAGTTTGAGCAGGATCAACAAGATGGCAATTAGGGGAGTAGAGAACCTTAGAAGCAGTCACATCATTTATGGTAGCTCTCTGGACTCCTCTTTCGCGAGCGACTACATCGCCTCTTTTCTTTGGGGCCATTCTAAACAATTGAAATACACTCAAAATTAAAATAAATTAAATACTAACTTATAAGAATAACCCATCCCCTAACCAATCATAAGAAGTCAAGAGACATGAGATGTAATGTCAAGGTAGGTTAATTACAAAATACTGGCTCTGATACTACTTTGTCAAACCCCGGATTCGGAAGGTGGTACACGATGACAACACAGGGCATGATGAAATGAAATGAACCTGTTTTATATTCTGAAAGATGACTTGCATGCAAACTAAAAGGGAAATATGTATTTTTTTAATATTGAAAATTTTAATGATACAACTGGATTGAAAAAAAAAAAACTAACTGAATCAAATCAGAAATGATAACATGAAACGACTATCCTGATTGAAAAAAATACAATAGCTAGGAGAAATACTGAAAATACTAAGACGAGAAAAACTAAAACCAAAAAAACTTGCTCTGGTGTCAGAAATGATAACATGAAACGACTATCCTGATTGAGAAAAATACAATAGTTAGGAGAAATACTGAAAATACTAAGATGAAAAAAACTAAAACCAAAAAAACTTGCTCTGGTTGAGACAATTTTACTAGTGGTTAAATAAAACATGTGCAAAACTATCAAAAAATGAGTTTGACAAACCCAGTAAATAACATCAATCCATTAAATTATAAATAGCAAGAAGAATGAGACATGCAATATGTACAACAAATAAGGACACCAATATGTGCATATGTAACATTATAAGACAACAAGCGAGATGTAAATATCAAATATTCATATCATTCAAAAACATATAGCCATTTTCTATCAAGTTTCTTATTATTCAATTTCAAGCTAATATTTATATAATTTCAATTTATTATTTATATAGTCAGTTCTAAGGGATACTCTGAAACCAGGAAGATCAATATTAACCCAAGAAAACCGCGTGATATTCTTTAGAGTCGTCACTCTATGGGTCTTTCGGTCCGGCTAGCCAAAATCTAAAGGAGTTCTGCCGACATGTATATCATCACACACAAACATGCCAAATTGTTTTCACCGTATAAAATGTAACAATTCTGTAATTTTACAGAGACTTATGATATGACAAAAGCAATTTCATGCAAGTGCAGAAAAAAAAGAGAACATTATTGCAAGATTAATTCAAATATGTAGAAAACTTTATAACAATAAATTAAGACAAGTAGTAACCTCATCATGGACAATAATTAAAACATATAATAATCATAAAATTGAATTAAAAGTGCATGACTGACAATCCTAAAAAATAACTATGAATTAACTAGAATTAACAATGATTAACGACTCTAGCTAGGAATTGTATGCTTATCCTTTAATAAAAAAAATAGTTATTTACCTTGAGGTGGTAACCAAGATACTCCCACAAATTCAATGATTCCATTAGTAATCCTACACCAATTAAAAATAAAATTAATTATGCTAACCTAATCGATGAGCATTGTTACAACTATTATTGTTATTAATTTTTATTATTATTAGAATATACAACTATTATTGTTATTAATTTTTATTATTTTTAAAAGAAGGAAATTATGAATTTAATTAACTTTAATAATATTATCAAAATAGTATTTTGTTTTTTTTTATTTTGATATAGGGGAAAATTAAAAAATTATGAATTAAGTGTTGGGAAATTTACATAAATAACCCTGAAATTTTAATAATAGTAAAAAAAAAAATGACATCGAATCCTACAAGCCCTCAAGTCCTATTCATCTTTCGGTTAGCCTCATGGATTTGTTAAATCTCGTAGGAAGACGGATTCACAAGATTCAGATAAGTGCGCGTGAGGGAGAAAGGCGGAGTAGACGAGGTTACCTTCCTCGATGGTTTCAAGTAGGAGCGGACAAAAGGAGAAGAGGTGTCATAATCTTGTTGTTGCCTTCTTGGCGAGCTCCAAGCTGAGTTGCTATGTTGCATGTTTTCTGGTATAGGATAAGGAAGTTTGGGGCCAAATTGAGAGAGAGAGGAAGGATGGAAATCAAGAGAAGAGAGTGGCAAGATTGCCGTTCAATGCCCTAACGTCCTAACCCATGCTTTGTTCTTATAAGAAAGAGAGACGATAGTCAATAGACAAGTCAGAAAAGCGGCAACAATAAATCAAGAGAAAAGGGAAGAAAATCACGATCTTGAGCAGGGGAAGCAGCAAAATATGAAAAATCACGTGAAAATAAGAAAAATGTAAGAGAAATATTTTTATTCCTACAAAATCTATAGATTTGGGTGATTTGCATGTAAATATAAAATTTTAGGTGAGAGCTGTGCTGTGTATCTAAATACTACTTTAATATAATAATGTTTGCAGCTTTGAGTATCGTTGATGTCTTGAACCTGAACCCGACCGGTTTAAGTTCCCTTCCGCCGGTCTAGTTCGAACCCACCCCGATAGCCGATAAACCCTATGCGGCTGCAAAAGGATATCGAGGGAAACAAAACACTAATACTGCATCATCTTCATCATCTCCTTCATCTTCCCATATTGAGTTCCATTAATGGAAAACTCGAAATCATAACTCCCAAAAAAAGATAAAAAACATTGAAATCTGGAAAAAATTCCTGTAAAAAGGAAGAGTTGTTGTGCGGGGAAGAAGATGGCTTTTACTATTATCTCCCATTTTTTATTATTTCCTCACTCTTATCATTCCTCCCGCATCAAATCTTGCTGCGCCGATTCTATCTTCAAGCAATCGTGCCGTCTTCGAGTTTGTAGATTCTCGTCTACTCTCCCGATGCTTCATCGGAGGAGAGGTGCGCCCCGCGGCACCACGACACGCATTGCGGCCACAGAGGATGCGGGAGCCCGTGAAGAAGGACGAGATAGAGTGAGCTGGAGCTTCGTTTTCCACTTTTATGTTTTATTGGTCCCATCAGATTCACTACTTTGAGTGTCGATTCAGCTGATTTGTTCAGCTGTCGATGGTTTCTTGCGAAATTGAATGATTTTCGTGATCGTATCATTCTATTATTGTATTCTTTATGTCAGATTAGAAGTTCTACTTGCAATTATTTGTTTATGTGATGCATTTTTAGTGCTCGAGTGTTTCCTTTTTTTCGCTTTAGCCGTTACGAAGCATTGGCACCTCTACTAATCCTGCTACCTCCGGAACCAATTTTCTTTCCTAAACCCTAAAATTATGCCTAAGACAACTTGATGTTGTTTTTTTCTGCTAAGTTCATCTTGGATCTCCATGCTGCTTTATTGTATGCTCATATTGTTGTCTATTGCCTTGTTTCTGCTAACGTTGCTGCTTCTTGTTGCTCATGTTCCGCCATTAGGATGATCAGAGAGTTGGTCCAGATCTTGAAACTCTTTTCAGAAGATTTTGGAAGGTGGCTTCTCCATATTGGTCATCGGAAGATAAAATCCAGGCCAGGTTAAAGCTCGCAGCTGTTTTCGCTCTCACCTTGGCAACAACAGGAATTAGCGTTGGGTTTAATTTCCTTGGTCGAGACTTCTATAATGCCCTTGCTAGTATGTAAATTCTATATTTGCTCTGAAATCATTGTTGCTAAAGCTTAATTAATTTACATATATTTCCACTTTTTGGATTCTGCAAGATAAGGATCAAGAACAATTTACAAAACAACTTCTATACTACTTGGGAGCCTTTGCAGGAGGGATTCCGGTGAGCTTATTGCTGCACCCTTGTAGGTATTGCTCTGTATTCTATTAAAGAAAAATGCATGGGCATTTACATCCATACCACCTGTGTATTAACATATCTAACACCTGAACTTTACTTTATACATTTGTACTACCCAAATCTTTCATATCAAATAAAAAATACAGCTTTTTAATCTTTGAAAAATTGAAATACATATTTTAATGCATAAATAAGGTGGCATATATGTAAAAATTGAACTTTAGGTGTTAGATATGTAAATATAGAGAAATTAAGTTGTAGGCATGCTAGTCTTCCAAAATTTTTTTTTATGGTTTTAATTTTTAGTTTCAGACTGATACCTAAGTGTGAAACTTGTGGCTGTCTTGACAAATTATCTTAGTAAATTTATTTCTTGAAGTCACACATTAGGTTAAGCTAAAAAATTACCTAACAAACTATTTGCACATTTTTGCGTATGTCCTTATTTTATTCATGAATTATTATTTGAAAAATATCTAACCAAATTGTCTTCAGCTTGTCTATGGAAGTATGATATTTAATACTACTATTCATATATTAGTCTAAGAAACATAAACGGGCACCTTTATGGAATAGCTTGAGAAAGGTTCATAAAGCTGTTGCTCTGTATGAATGCACTACTTGAACCATAAATTTACAGAAAAGTAAATCCAATGAAACAGCATAAAAGGCTAAATAATATGAAGAAGAAACTTTCCTTCAATGAAAATGTGTTTATTTTGTTCCGATGTCTATTATTAGTCTAAAGCACCCTTTCTCACTTAACTAATGCAAGCTTTTTAGTTGAGAAATTGAAAAAAAGATGGGTCGGGGACGGCCTTTGTTGCACTTATGACATATTTTTTTAAAACTGTTTAAATTTGCTTCTCACAAGTTTTAAGGTGTTATGTTTTGAATTTAAATTGACGGTTTTTGCTCTAAATCCAGGACGTCTATTATAAACTCTTGGTTTCGCGAACATACTTAAGCAGTTGTGATTCCTGGTGTTCTTAAATCATATTTCATTTATCATTTTCTTTGTGATTTTTCTTAAGATGTTAATAGTTGACTCTAATATATATTTTTTTCCTTTTTTCACTTTTGGAAGCTTTAATCTCATTGATTTACTTCATGAAATTCAATGTTAACGCTTTACAGATCTTTGTCCTGAGAGATTATGCAAAAGACACCCTATCTCTAAGATGGAGGTCTTGGATGACAAGCTACTACTTAGAACGCTACCTAAAGAACCGCACATTTTACAAAATTCAATCTCAATCCATAATTGACAACCCCGACCAGCGCATTGTTGATGATCTAAGTTCTTTCACTGGGACGGCTCTTGCATTTTCATTGACTGTCTTTAATGCAGCTGTTGACTTGATATCTTTCAGTAACATATTGTATGGAATCTACCCTCCCTTATTTGTAGTGCTTATTGTTTATTCACTTGGGGGTACTGCTGTTAGTGTTTTTCTTGGAAAGGTAATCATGTATTTTATTCAATTATTTGTAGATTTACTGCATTTACAGTCTAAAAAGAGGACCAACTGTTTCTCATGCTTTTCAGGGTTTAGTCAACTTGAACTTTATGCAAGAGAAGAAAGAAGCCGATTTTCGTTATGCATTAGTGAGAGTTCGAGAAAATGCTGAGTCAATTGCTTTTTATGGTGGTGAAAATAATGAAAAGCAGGTTCTGTTAGACCGTTTCAAGAGGGCTTTTGAAAATCTCAGTGTAAGCTCGCTCAGCATTTGAGCTATTTAAATATATGATATTGGCTTTTTTCAATTTGCAAAATCCTAACAATTATTCCTTTAGTATGTAAAGGCATCTGGTTATCAGTTAAAATTGTAGTTTGGCAATTTTCCCTCAGGTTTTTGTTTTCTATATGCTTCTCTTATTTAATTTAGCTGCTTCAAACCCTACTCATCTTTTCTAGAGTAAAGTGCCAAAATAGTCCCTTGATGTTTTACATGGGGGCATTTTAGTCTTATCTATAAAGTGCTAAATTTATCTTTATACTCTAAAAGTTATGGCTAAAATAGTCATTCTTAGGGACTATTTCAACCCATATTAAAAGACTTTGGAGACTAAATTGACACTTTTATAGGCTCTGGGATTAAAATGATCCAATGCAGAAAATCAAAGGACTATTTTGACAATTATTATAATTTTTTTCTTTATCCTTATAGTTACTTGTTTTTGGATTCTAAGCTTGATCAGCTTTTTAGAAATTTTCTTTGAATGTGACTCCCCTTGGAATTACGATTGTTTCCTCCTTCAGGGGAGTGCTATGGTATAGGTGCTATCTTAAATTGCGCATCCAATAAGTCTTCCTATATATTGTTCTAGCTTCCCATTTTGGCGCACTTACATATACATCACTCATTTCACATGTATTTACATATCTAATACCTGAACATTGCTTTTTTACATTTATACCACCCAAATCTTTCAATAACATCAAAAACACCACCATTTTAACTTTTAAAATGTGAAGTACACCTTTTCATGTATAGTAAGGTGGCATTATGTAAAAATTGAAGTTTTGGTGTTAGATATGTAAATACATAAAGTGGATGTATGCAAATCTTCCTTTTACTAAATACTGTTTTAGCTCCAGTTTTTCTCTTTTTTTTCTTCTTTTAAGTGCCCAACTTTGCGAGACTTACCCTTCACTGTCCATTGGGATCTGCTTTTTTGTTAACATTTTGTCCTATATTTTCTTGCAGCAACTGTTGATTTCTTCTCGGAATCTTGAATTTTTCACGAGCGGATACCGGTATTTGATTCAGATTCTTCCAGCTGCTGTAGTTGCCCCTATGTACTTCTCAGGAAAAATTGAGTTTGGAGTTATAAACCAATCGGTTTCTGCTTTCAATCATATACTAAGCGATTTCTCTTTGATCGTATACCAGTTTCAGTCATTGAGTGCCTTCTCAGCCATAATTGATCGCCTAGGTATTATTTTCTTGGGGCACTTACATACATTCCACACAATTCTAACATTTTATATATCTAACACCTAAACTTTGGTTTTTGCATGCCTACCACTCAAATTTTTAATATCACATAAAAATACCACTATTACTAACTTTTAAAAAGTGGAATGCACTTTTTTCAAGCATAGATTTATGATACCAAAATTTTATAAATGTAAATATCAAATTTTAGATGCTAGATATGTAAATACATAAGAATTGTGCAGTATGCATGCACTTTTTTTTTTTTTTTTTTGTCGATATTTGTAATCTGCCACACTGGTTTTTTTTTTTTTTCTTGTCGATAGTTGTAAGCTGTCCCATCCGGTGTTTTTTTTTTAGTCACTGGTAACATGATGGACTATTGTAGTTATCTGCAAATGCAGATTTAATAGAGTTGCGCAAACATTTTATATTCATGAAAAGAGTTTTGACATTCCAAATCAATGACAAGTATTGTAGCACTTATTTATAGTTTTATTCCTCGGCAGAAAGTGAGAGATGGTGTTTTTTGCAAGCGGGTAAAGAATACATATAGTAATAAGGGAGGACTTGTATAGGGATTATTATCGAAAGGGATTGTACTATATACTCCTTTTGATTTAGCCATACCATCTTGACTTTATGTGTGCTGCATATTTGATTGAAGCTAAATCATGAAAAATTATTTGTCTTTTTTTGTATTTACTTTGGCATTAAATGATTGAAGTGGCGCTTTTGCATTCTTGTTTTTTAGCTTGGGGTGTCAATGAATGGCCCAATTTGACAATTTAATCCAAACTTAACTCAAACTCAAAAAGCTCAGACTCAGGTTAACTCAATTACCATTTTGGTTGAGTTTCGCTCAAGCATATAAACATGATAATTATTAAGATCCAGCTAGGTTGACCCTTATAACCCAAATTAACTTAATTATTATTTGATGTGGGTTTAGACACATTCTGATTGGTTTAATTTGGTTATCCGGGTCATATTTAAGATAATTAGGGTACCTTGGTTCAAAATAATAGTAGGATCCTTTAATAAAAGGGTTGTTTAGGTTAGGTTTGGGTTGAATCGGGTTCAAATTAAATTTTTTGGCACATAGAATAAACAGTTTAGATCAAACATATTCAAGTATTCAAACATTTTAAGCGTTACCAAACAACCGAACCCTACTAAAAATTTTTGTTTGGGTTGGCTTGATTATTATTTGGGTCGGATTTGGGTTTAAATTATAAAATTAATTATTTTTCCATTGAGGTTTGGGTTAATCTAAATAATTCAAAATTAGCCCAAAATTGACCTAATCACTATTTAGATTGGGGTTAGACAGGTACAAGTTGTATTAATTAGGTTAAATAGGTCTATTTGATTTAATTGGGTTTTGCTGATATAAAATAGTAGTATTATCCATGTAATAAATTATTTTGTTAAGTCAAATTTGGGTTGAATATTTTGACTTAGATGATAAAAAGTCAGGTTCGGGTTGATGAGCATATTTGATTGGGTCAACTTTGAGTTAGACCTGAACTCAACCTGTCAACTTGAATTGACACTCCTAAAGCTTTGTTTTAAATTGATGCTTACAGATGTTTGACTAGTCAATTAATTTTGGCCTTAGAGAGAATAAGATAGTTTTAGGTGTTCTAGTTTAGTAGGTATTTGCCCATCCAGTAATGGAGCGTACCAACATGAAGACCATGAGTAAAGAAGACAAGACAGAGATTTTGGTAAAATTCTCAACAATTCAGCTATATTTGGAGGATGAGATTTTGATGGGGGTTCTTAAGGAAATAATTACTGAAGGCTTGTGGGTCAAGATGGAATATTTGTAAGTGATTAAAGGTCTCTCTAAAAAACTTAATTAAAAGAAAATCCTATATTTTCTTTGCATTTAAGCATATTCAATTTAATTATTTGATATTTAAGAAATATTAATCTGATTATTGATGGTGTGGATCAATCTTTGCTGATATTTTGCTGTCAATGAGCTATCCTTAGAAGCATTTTTCTGATACCATTTTGTCTTAGTGAGATACAATCAATTTAGAGGATATCAATGATTTACTTCTTTATAAAGTTGTGACTACTAAGTTGCTGGTGCATGTGATGAAAATCCGTTGAGAGATTGTTGATTGGGTGGAGATTTCTTGAAAACGAATGTACTTCTAATAGCAAGTCATTTGTTAGGTTAAAACATAAGATTTGTTTCATTTGTAAGAAGAAATGAACATAAAGGAGAGATTATTTTGCTTGAAAAGCAGGGAGCATCACGCATGTAATAGCTATTATAAATATGCCAACATACTTTAACACTTTTGATATAGATTTGTGTACCTTTTTTTCAATGACTGATTATGGCAGGTGCAAAGAACATTGGGTTTTGGTTTTGGACTTGGCTTGTCATATCACGAATTTTGACAATATATTTTCCACATAGGAGTCATATCTTTGAGGCTATGTTTATATGAGAAAAATATTATATGCAAGACTGTTGGTTCTGATATTATGAAGTTAATGACACTTCGCATTGTGATTGTTGCATTGGCTAGAGTCAAGTATGTACTTAATTTGAAGAGTGTAATATAATTGAGTGCTTTTAGTGATACAAGATATATATTTTTTTGGAGATTGCTAAGAAACGTATTAAATCTAATGGTTATATATTAACATGCATGTATCTTATGAAGATTAATATTAGATAACCTAATTAAAAGTGATCTAATTACAAGATCTTTTCTATAATAGAAATATTTCTAATATATATAGATAGGAGTGTATATAAATATGTATCATATTCTTTCAATTGGATAAGAAGTTTTCTTATTACATGGTATCAGAGCATCGTCTCTGTAGTTGGAATCGTTTTGCGACGTCGTCTGTGTGGACTGAATTGTTCATTTGGATTGGAGCATTGTCTCTGTTGTTGGAAACATTCGTCGGTGCATCTGTGTGGTCTGAATCACATGTCTAGATAGCTCCTTTGCATTCGTTGAACCGTTCATAACGAGCCGTGGGTATTTAGTCGTCTCGGCATCGTTCCTTAGCCAAATGAGATCATCCATTGCGAGTCGTTTGTCTCCTATGTCGTCATTTCTCTTTGGCGTCGACAACAAGGTTTTTCTGTGACATCATTCTCATATGGTGTTGTCTTTCTCTTTGTGATATGTATTGCTCTCTTCGTTATATGATCCCAAAAAATATAATAGTTAGGGAAGAATAAGACAACAATTAAGAGCTTATTTAATCTTGCTAACAGAGACAAAATTAAAAGTGAATTAACGTAAATTAATAATAGACGTTAAATATAGTGTAGGTGTAACATTAATGGTGCCAGAACCAAGAAAATTAGAGGTTGATCTATCTGCTAAGAACCTTAAGTTACTAATTGCTCTTGAAGAGGTAAATGTCAATGCGTCAATCCCATTTTATCTTGTGTTAACTATGATCAATTATCTTCTACTTATTGCTCATCTATTGTTTCCCTTGACTCTCTTGAGGTCTCAAGATTTGTTCAACGAGCCTTATCTCATTCTCGATGGCGGGCATCGGTGCTCGATCAAATGACTATTTTAATTGAAAATCGAACTTGGGTAGTAGTTGAATAACCCTCTGACAAGAAGTTTATTTGCTATAAATGAGTCTTTGTAGTTAAATTTTATTTTGATGGATTTGTAGCACGTCTCAAAGCTCGGTTGGTTGTTGAGGGCTATACTCAAATTTATGGGATTGACTACTTGGACACATTCTCTCTGGTAGCTAAGTTTACTTTGATCCTCCTTTCCTGTCATTGGCCGCAATAAATAATTGGCCCCTGCACTAATTTGATGTGAATAATACCTTTTTGTATGAAGATCTTTTAGAAAAGATATACATGGAGCAACTATTTGTGTTTGTTGCTCATGGGGAGTTTGAGAAAGTATGTCGTCTTTGAAAGTGACTATATGTATGAAGCAAAGTCTCCAGGCATGATTTAGAAGATTAAGTCAAGCAGTAGAAGAGTTTGAAATGCCAAAAAATAAAAGCGATCACATTGTATCATATAAACAATTTGCTTCTGGGATCATTCTGTTGATGGTGTATGTTGATGACATTATTATTAATGGAAGCAATGTGCAGTGAATCTTATCAATAAAATTATTTCTCCAAAAATAGTTCAACACTAAAGATCTGGGTTCCTTGAAGTACTTCTTAGGGATTAAGCATGAGAAGTATCTTTCTATCTCAACGGAAGGATGCGTTAGATTTGTTAGCAAAAATGAGAAATTAGGGGTCAAATCATGCGGCACTCCAATGCTTCCTAATCAACAACTTATTAAGGATGAAGGGCCTTTTAATGATCCAGAATGATATAGAAAGTTAGTGGAAAATTTAAACTGCCTCATAGTGATTCTCCCTGATATTGCATCAAAAATACCACTTGTATTATATTAAAAATACTACTATGATTTTTAAATTGAGAAGCACACTTCTTCATGCGTGGGTAAAGTTGTATGTATGCAAAAATTGTATTTAGGCTTCAAGTCTGTAAATATATAGGAATAGGTAATATGTACGTAAAAATTTAATGTTTAGCTGTTAGGCAAGTGAATATATATAGGATTTGTGTGGAATGCGTGTGAAAATTTCTTAGGTATTATATCTGTCAGTATATAAGAATTGCAGGGCATGTAGAAATTGAGGGTTAGTTTTTAAATGTGTAAATACATAAAAATCAGTGGTATGTGCGTAATAATTATGTTTAGGTGTTAAGCAGGTAAATACATATGGATAGAGTGGCATGCATTTAAATAATAAGTTCAGGTTTCAGACATGTAAATATTTAAGAATTGAATGGTATTATGTATAGAAATTTGATGTATAGGTGTTAAATATGTAAATAGATAAGAATTGAATGGTATGTATTTGTATATGAAGTCTAGGTGTTAAACATGTAAATATATAAGAATTGAATAGATAAGAATTGAATGGTATGTATTTAGATGTGAATTTTAGGCGTTAAACATGTAAATAGATAAGAATTGAATGGTATGTATTTGTATATGAAGTCTAGGTGTAATGGTATGTATTTGTATATGATTGAATAGATAAGAATTGAATGGTATGTATTTGTATATGAAGTCTAGGTGTTAAACATGTAAATATATAAGAATTGAATGGTATGTATATAAATGTGAAGTTTAGCTGTTAAATATGTAAATAGATAAGAATTGAATGGCATGTATTTGGATATCAAGTTTAGGTGCTAAAAATGTAAAGATGTAAGAATTGAATGTTATGTATGTAAATTTCTATGCTTTGGTGATAGGTATGTAAATAGACAAGAATTGCATGGTATGTATGTAAATTTCTATGCTTAGGTGTTAGGTTTGTAACTACAAAGGAATTGCATGGTATAGGGGTTGTTTTGTTTAAACCAGGTGAGGTTTCCACATTTACACGGTCCAGGAGAAGCTTTGGGTCTTTCGGATATGAAATCTGAAATGATTTTATTTCATCTGAAAGTGAGCTCCAACTTTCTGGACTCATCTTTGAATCAAAATCATATGTTTCTAGTTCAGTTTTTACAAATTTTGTTTTCATCTCCATGTTATACGAACAAATTGTATGATGAGAAATCAGACTATCTGATGTGGCTATCACAACTTCAGAATCTTCAGGGAAGTTGAGATGGAGTGGTTGCAAAGACTTGTGTAATTCATCTAATTTAACACTAGGATAGTCCGGGCTTGTATCATCGTCTCAGGAAAAAAAAAAGTTCAAGCACGGATACTGGACTCGGCCTTTCGGGTTTTTTGGCGATGAACTCGGAAGCTTCCACATGATTTATGATTGAAGAGTTTGTAGACATTGATGCAGTGAGAACCAGTATTCTTGGTTTCTCATTTGGAGTGCCTTCCTCAGTCTAGTGGGGCGTGGGAAAGATGTGTAGCTTGCTTGTCCTGCGAAAGGGAGAGAAGGGATTTTGGTGAGAGAAGAGGAAGGCAAGGTAGCTTCAACTTCTTGCATTCAAGAAGGGGAAGGATGGAGAAGCATGGGGTTTCGGCCGGCTGAAGAGGTGGCCGAAAATTTGAGAGCAGGACTTATTGGGAGTTCCAAATGGAGAAGTGCAAATGGGATCAACGGACTTGGAGGAGTGAAATCAATTTCAGCTTTTTGGAACCGTAGAAGGGCAGGAGTGTTTGGATTTATGCAGGTAATAGCGTAGAGAAGTCACACAAATCTTTCGCCAAAAATCAGACTTGCTAATAGAGGCATTCAAATAAAATTGGGCTGCTCATAATCAAGACAATTTTCAGTATCTATCAATTGTGAGAGGACATGAATAACACATGATTGTTTTGGGCATTCAAAATTAGCCACAAATATTCCAAAATGAATTTAATATGCTTGAAATTATGTCATATATCGTGTACAAATTTATCATAATGATATCAAGTGTATATCAATGGTTTATATTTGATGATGTGACAATCTGAAATCAACAATGAGCTTTATATACAAAACTATTGACATGAATTTCGTAAGGCTTTCTTTCAAGTTTCGAATAATAAGAAACCAAAACTATATACAATTGGTGAAGACGGACCAAATGTTTGTTTTTTTTTTGAATGCAAAGTTGATGGCCTTGGAAGTTCCAAATATTTGTAGAGTGATATGTATGTATGTATGTATGTATATATATGTATGTATGTATGTATATATATATATGTATGTATGTATGTATTCAAAATTGGAACTAGGATTTTTTTTTTTTAATGATGAAGAGCTAAACCTGATAACACAAATTTTTTTTCCAATTCTCTGAAACATTGGAAGCCATAATCAGCCTTGCTAAAAACATTTGAGGAAATATTTTTTCAATCAACCTGCAGAATCCAAAGATAGCAAGGTTACAGGAAAGGTGCATTCGAGAACAGTAGGAAGCAAAATGATATTTCACATTTATTGGATTTATAATCCATGTGGACGGGTATTCTAAGAAGGAAACATAAGTTTTTACTTAATACAATACAATCGAATGACACCTATCTTCATATTTATGCAAAACTGGAGATATATTTAAGCATATGCAAACCTTGGGTACATATATGTTTGGCATAGAAATTTGAAATGAAAGGATTAAGATGAGATATACCTTACAAGGCTGAAATCGGAAGCGAGAAGGAAGAGCTGCGATGGCAGGAAGTTCCCGATTTTTCTTCTTCTCCTGTGCGAGTTCAGGAGAATAGGAAGAAGGGGCTTCGGCTTGCTTCCTCCTTGGCTTGTCATTCGCGAACCATTGAGAGAAGCAAGAGAAGTGGGGGAATCAGAGGAGAAGAGCGGGTGGTGTCTCGAATCAGAGGAGCATTTCGGGTTAAATGATGTAAGATGAAGAGTTACCGGAACCGTTCGTGAGCTGGAACAATTGAGGGCTTCGAATCAAAGAGGGAGGAGCACAAGAGCTCAGGTGTTGCTTCTTTGTGGACCTTAGAGAATATCCCAGAGATGGAGTTTCAGCTAGGCTTTTAAGGATTTAGGAGGGCTTTACATGCATACCATTCAATCCTTATTTATTTACCTATCTAATGCCTAAGTTCAATTATTACATTTATAACACATTACACATGCAAAAAGAGATGTTTTTAATTTTTTAGAAAAAAAAGATAATGATAAAAATAACAATAATAAAAATAAAAATGATATTTTTGACATGATATGAAGAATTCAGGTGGTATAAATGTAAAACGACATGTTTTAGATATTAGATATGCATATGGATAGGAATAGGGCGGTATATAAATATATATATAAATTTTAACTTATTTTTTTATTTTGTTTACTCCAAGTAAATGTTTTAATTTATTTAAATTTAAATTTAAATTTGTATCTTGGTAAATTTAATTTTATATTTTGTTTAATCTAATTTTAATTAATATTTTGGTCTTAAGTTTATCTATAATTTAATTTAAGTCATATTCAATTTATGTCTTAATTTTGTGTAGATTTTATATTTAATTTATATTTTAGTTTATTTATATTTAGTTTGAATTTTACTTTAATTTAAGTTTATGTTTTGTTTTAATTGAATTGTTCAAGTTTAGGTTTTGATTTTAATATTTTAGTGATTTATGATTATTATTTTTATTATTATTCTTCAAATTATTGTCGTCCAAATGCCACCATCAAACAAAGTCCGATTTGGACGCGAACGGGCCCATTTGTAAAGTTTCAACAATCTGAACACACGTGATTTGTTTTGCGAAACAACGCTCTGAAGGAAATTTTTTTACGTGGGATAAGATTTCATGTATTAAAAGCATGAGAAACAAGAATCAATGTAAAAATGGGCTCAAATAACTATCGAACTCGTCACATTCTCCTCCAAGTATGATGACAAATATGATGCAGCTTACAAAATAAATTTTGAGCGCTGCAATGGGATGAAGAGGCCACGACAGATTTGAGTTCATTTTCTTATATTAAGTTAAGTTTAGTTCAAATTTATGTTTTAAATTGGGTTTAATTGAATTGAATTAAATTTGTTTGAGTTTAATTTTAGTTTTAATTTAAGTCAAGCCCAAACTCTTCCAAGTTAATCCAAGCCCAAGTTAAGCCAAGATCCACCACCTAAGGATGCTAGGAAGGAACCTTGGCTTAGATAAGGGAATGATGAGGGCAAGAGTGTCGACAAAAAATGAGGTCAACAGTAGTTGCGCCCTAAAAGGGTGTTGGACTTCTCAGTGCACTGGGTGCCTCTACTGGCACCGTGGCGCAAGATTGCTGTGCAGAGCAGTAGAATGTTGTGTGGTACTGTTGAAGGCAATCATGCTCCATATACTAACATATACTACCCTAGACTATTCACTGAGGGCATGATAACATACAAAGGCTTATTTTATTCGAGGAAGATGTACATACATACTATGCAATTCTTATCTATTTACATATCTAACATTTAAAACTTCAATTTTTACATACATGTCAACTTAGCTATGCATGAAAATGTGTATTTCACTTTTTAAAATTTAAAATGTTGGTTTCTCGTATGTGATATCAAAGATTTGAGTGGTATAAATATGAAAAGCAAATTTTAGGTATACATATATATATACATACATACATATATAGACGTATGTATGTATACATATATATATACATACATACGTATATAGACGTATGTATATATATATAGATAGATATGTATATATATTGGGTTGTACAAATGTAAAAAATTAAAGTTTGGGTGTTAGATATGTAAATTCATAAGAATTGGGTGGTATGTTTATAAATCTTCCAAAATGTTTACTGTATGTATGGCAACATGAATTATTTCCTTTGTCTGTGCGTTAAATTGAATGCTTTGGTTAATTTCTTGTTTTGTTGATATTTATGTTTTTTGCTTCCAAATCTTAGTGGGCAATGTGAAGCCTTTTTTAGAAGTAATTTTGTTTAGCGGTTCTGAGATTGGATTTTATGTATAGGTGAGTTTGATGATGTTCTGGATGGCCTTTCGAATGATTCAAAGATCAATGATTCTGAAGAGATTATCCTTCAGTATTCTGACATTTGTATTCCATCTTCCTCTGACTATAATGGCTCTATACCTAAATGTGAGTCTAAAAAATTACTGGAGGTTTCTAATCTGACATTACAAACTCCAAGAACTAGAACTATCCTTATTAAAGACTTGTCTATCATAATCAATGAAGGAGATCACCTACTGGTATGCCACTTTCTCTGTTAATTTTAGTTTGCATCATACATATACATTTAGGGAGATTTACATACATGCCGCACAATTGTTATGTGTTTACATCTAACACCTAAAATTTCACATTTACTTCTGTCTTAAAACTTTACATGAAGATGTGTATGTCACTGTTAAAATGTAATCATGATAGTATTTTTGATGTGATAATAAAGTTTTGAGTTTATGGATGTAAATATGAAATTTACATAAGAATTATTTGGTATTTATGTAAGTACCGCATAGACTTGAAATCACTTTAATTTATTTGATAGATTACTGGACCAAGTGGAAGTGGAAAGACGTCGTTCTTGAGAGCTCTGGCTGGTCTCTGGACTAGTGGTAGAGGGAAGATCTCATTTTATGTAGAAGACGGTGGTCATTATCAAGTATCTGCCTCATCAGGAACAAATTCTTTACCTGAAAATACATCAAAAGATGAGGATCTGAAAGGCCACGAGTATGGGAGAGCTGGCCAAGTATTTTTCCTCCCACAAAGGCCATATATGGCCTTGGGAACACTTCGCCAGCAGTTGCTCTATCCAAGATGGAGCGAGAATTCACTTTTGAGATCTACCAACTCTGCGCTTATTGGTATGTTGGCTGTCATCATGTATCTAATTACACTGTGCTATTTAGTTTATTTATTTATTTTTTAATTGAAAGAAAGTGATATGACTTGAATCTAAAATGAAGGGGCTGCAATCTATTTACGTATTTAAACCAGCAGCAAACTTCAACCAATTCTATTATTTGAGAATAAGTATAGCTGAGGCATCCAATGATGTTTTTCTTAATTGGTTTCAATCTGATTCTAATTAAGCTCTTTAAGCTTATAACCGATTAACAAAAAAAATGAAAAAAAATTAATGTATGTAAATAACATATCTTCAGTTATGGATTTCATATATGTTTATTCACTGATTTTTTAAACCTTCTATACCTTTTGCACTCTCAAATAGATGGTGTATGTTTTCCTAATGTCTTATTTAGTTGCTTGTGGATAAAAAAAAAGTCAACAAAGAGTATTTAAGTTTGATTGGTAAAACTGAATCATCACATTTGAAGGAATATCCATGCAAAGTACAGTACTCAGAGAAGAAATTCTTTTGTTGACTAAAAATAAATTTTCTAGATATATATTTTGTGTGCTTCCATACTAATTGCATGCTTTCAACTGATTGTCTAGCAAAATGTTTATATAGGGGATAAAAATAGTAAGATTGATATTTATGATGAAATTAAGACGGATAAAATGATAAAAGTCATTAATATAAGAAAATTGGCGGGGTACATGTTATGGTGTTAAGATCAATGCGGATTCGAGAGATTTCGAACAAAATTATTTAAACAAATGCACACAAATAAGTAATTCCAGAAAAAAATACACTAATAGAACCAAAATTTAACATAGGAAAGCCCGAGAATGGGAAAAAAATCACGGAGCTACACCAAATCAAGAAATTCACTATGAGATGAGGAGAAATTATAAATAGTACAAACTCAAGTCTATCTATTCTCTTGGTGTTCACGATCACTCATCTCATTTCTCTTTCACCATATAAGTCATAGAAATCAAACACCAACTCACAACACCACTTCACCCTATTCAGACACACTTCTCGCAGCAAAGAAACACTAAATTTAAACTCTCGAGCTGCAGAAATCGGTTATAGATGCCTAGTTATTAGACACTCTGTTTTAGAATGCTTAAAACGGGACTTTTGGGCGCTTAAGCGCCCCTACTAAGAGACCAGTTTCCACATGGTAACCTTTGGTTGGGCGCTTGCTCTGGTGCTGGGTTGCTCGCTGTTAGGTGCAGGGGCACCCCCTGGGCGCTAGGTTGCCCGCTGCAATGTTCTTGGGTTGTTCTCCTTGCCAATCAGGCTTCACACATAATAATCTCCCACTTAGAGACTGATTTGCAACTCCCTCTCCTCCAAACTTACACCATTTTCATAGTTGTATGCAGTAGTGTAGCTCACCAATCATCATGATCTCCAACTAATGCCAAACATAACTTCAAATTTTCAATTATGACCACTTTAGTCAATATATCTGTAGGATTTTTAGCTGTATGTATCTTTTCCAAAGATAATTGATCATCTTCCAGGAGAGAACAAATAAAGTGATGCCTTAGCTGAATGTGTTTTGTCATGACATGAAAAATGACGTTCTTAGCTAGATGAGTAATACTCATAATGTCATTATGAAGCTTCCCAATCTTTTTTCCTTGCCCAATTCTACCATAAAGCTCTGTACTTAAATCATTTCCTTGCTATCCTTAGTGATAACAATGTACCCAACTGCTGGAGTTGAAGGAGCAACAATTTTCTGTAGCATGGAAACCCAACGCAGTGATGTGATCCCTAAAGTGAAGACATGCACTGTTGTACTTCTTCCACCATCAATATTCCCTGCCAAATCTGAATCTATATATTCTGCAAATTAATTTTTGCACATCTGAAACAAAGTGCCTTGTTGACTATTTCTTTCAAGTATCTAAAAATCTCAATGAAGTTTTTCTGGATTATGCTGATTTCTCCCATTGCATGTGTAATATCTGGTATTATACATATCATTGCATACATCAACTCGATCTGCTGAAACATGCAGTGTTTTTTTCATATATGCTTGCTTTGCTTCAGATTTGGGAGATAGTTCCTTAGATAGCTTAAAGTAACTGCCTAAGGGGTGCAAATTGGTTTTAGCTCATTTATGTTGAATCTGTGTAAGACCTTCTTAACATATTTTGCATGAGAACTTTCTGTATTTGCACTCCTGTCCCTGCTGATTTTCATATCGAGGATCTTAGTCAGACCTAAATTTGTAATCTCAAATCCTTTTGATAATTATTCTTTTTAAGTCCCTGGCCTTTTCTATATCTGCTCTTGTAATCAATAATATCCACATACAATAGAAACACGATATAATAATCGTCACTTTGATAAAGTAACAATGATTTGTTTGACACTTCATATACCTATTGTCAGACATGAATCTGCCAAACCTCTTGTACGGCCTTGGAGCCGGCTTCAAACCATAACGACTTTTCTTTAACATGCAAAGCATGCATTCTGTTCATGGAATTTTATATATCTCCGGTTGCACCATATACAACTCTTCTTCTAAGTCACCATGCAAAAAAGTTGTCTTTACATTCATCTGCTTCAAATATAGATTTTCATCTTTTATCAAGGTCAACACAATTTTGATGGTTGTTATTTTCACTACCGGAGAAAATTCCTATGAGTAGTCAACTCCTACCTTTTGCTGAAACAGTTTCACAATAAGCCTTCCCTTGTAGCGTCTGCTATTATCCGATTCTTCTTTCAGCTTGTAGATCCACTTATTGTGCAATTTCTTTTTGCCATTTGGTAGTTCCACGAAATACCATGTCTAATTTAGTTTTAGTGGTTCCATCTCATTATACATGACAAACTCCCACTTGTTAAAGCCTTCGACTTGAGTGACTTCTTCATAGCACTCTGGTTCATTACTTTTAGTTAACAAAAAATGGTAACGAAGAAGTATAATACATATGCATCAGTATTGTATCTTTGTTGGATTTCCTGACTTCACTAATAGGTGGTTGAGGAACTTCTTCTGCTTCACCAGATTGAGCACCTATGCTTTCTCCATTTTTCTAATCACCAATATCTTAACACATTTGAAGGAGTCTTCAAAAGTAACAAATGAGCAATCTCGAGTTCTGCTCTTATTTCTATGCATTTTCATTTCATTGAAAGTAACATCCTTACTCTTAATGAATTTTTTATTCTGATAATTTCTGAATTGTACAAAAATTCATTTGAGTAATATCCAATGAAAGTGCATTTGACTGATTTCTAATTGAGCTTACTTTTGAATCCTACATTGACATGAACATACGATGAACAATCAAATACTCTCATGTGAGATAGATTTACCTTCTTGCCACCCAAGTTTCTTCAGGCAAGCCTTCATTCAAATTTACCGATGAATCACGATTGATCAAATAAACTACAGTGTTCACTATTTCTGCCCATAAGTATTTTGGCAAACCTGCATGCAATCTCATACATGATTCCTTCTGATGCACAACAACTCAACCTCTTATCACGATACTCACTATCGGTATCTGATCTTAGACACTTCAACCTCAAGCCCATTTCATTCTCAACCACGACCTTCCACTTCTTAAACACTTCAAGTACATCAGTTGAAGAAGTACCTATACCTTTCTGGTGTGATTATTAATGAAAGTGACAAAGTATTAGATACCTCCAATAAATTGAACTGGAGTAGGATCCCATACATTAATATGCACTAATTCAAACTTTATATTTCATTTTTGACCCACTTTTGGAGAAAGTAATATTCTTTTGTTTGCCATAGACACAATTTTCACAAAAATTTAACTCTATAAAATTTAAACCATGAAATTTAATGTTAGAAGTAAGGACTTCATATCTTACTCACCTATATGGTCAAATCTGTAGTGCCAAAAACCTGCATCTATCATATGTTCCAGTTACATCAATGGATTCAAGTGACTTATTGGTCAGGTAAAGAATTCTTTTAATATTGCATGTCGGCTTTTTTTAAATAAGATTTTAAAATTTATATTTAATATAATATATAATATAATTTTAATTTTGTGAAAATGGTATATATATATATTTTTTTGAAAAATAATGAGACCAGATAGACCTCATATATGTAATAGTTTAAATAGTTAAACACGATACCATAAATGATCTCATCTAGAAAGATGAATGTATCACTTATTGGTGGCTTGACTATCTAAACTTAAAAGTTTATGACTCTATTTTGGTTTGCGAATTTTTATAGCCGACAAATTCCCCTATCTAATACACAGATTAAACAGGGTTTAGATTAATCTGAGTTCTTAATTCCCTATAGAGGCAAACCTCTATAGTTAATTACATCTAAGATAAATGAAGTTACCTAAGAAAACTCTCGATTAAGATCAGAATTTTGTTTTCAAGAATTCAACGTTTAAGTTTTCACGATTGCTTATAGGAAAGTCAAGTGAGAATGACCCAATATGAAATAGTTATTTTCTTTGGAATCCAAAGAAGCGAAAAGTAGGAAATGTCGAAGATATTGAAGAAGCTTCAGTGACATCTCAAACTAATCTATGATTTGGCTTTACATCTTTGAAAGAGAAATTAGTTGACGTTTTACTCATGCAAATTATTTAGATATTCAGACTTATATCTACATTTCATATGTAAATGTCCCGAGGAAATAGGAGGATTTATGTCGTACCAGAAGTCGATCTTGGAATCCTAAAAAGTTTATGACTTATATTATATGATATAAAATCGTAGAAGGTCATAAAAGATAATGTGATGATTTACGTCGTACTAGACGAACGACCTCGGCGTTCTATAGGTATGTTATTTAAATCTACGGAAGTTCAGTTGAGGTTTCTCCTTCCACCTTTTTGTTGTCGCCTCGATTGCTGCCTGAAGGCTGATCGTCATTTGATGGTTTTGTCGTCTCGTCTCGAGAAAAGGGGAGAAAGAAGAGAGAACACTTAATTAACCTATTCTAAGTTCTTGGTATTATTATATGTTAAATAAAGT